AAAGAGTGTTTCTAACACTCTTCCAGGGAAAACAAATGAGGGACAAAGACATAGAGGGATAAAACTTAGGCTTTAATTCCCTCACTCAAAATTTTGCAAAATTTAGAAAGGCAAGACCACAAGAGTTTAAAATCCTGAACCAGTTACAGTACTGCTAGGTTTTAAATTGCAAAACATACCACGGGATGTTGCAGAGTCTCAAATCTCAATCATCTCAATTACGGCTGTTTGCAGCCACATCAGGCTATGATCACAGACCACATCAGCCGCAATTAGCCTACATGAGTCCACAACACAACTGTGATGATGATCACAATTACAACCACAATTTAAACCCTACTCAAATTAAATACAACCATAAATCTCATTCTTGACATACTCAGCAAAATACAGCAAGAGCCCGAGTTTAGATCAGAATCTTGACATATCTTAATTCAAACTAACATAACCTTTAAATAAAAAAAAACAAAGCCACAGTCAATTGAAGAAAAAATAAAATAACACAAAATTTTGTCATGTCTGCAACAAGACTCTCGAAATCAAAGAAAAATTTTGCAAATTTCTTTTGCAATTTAGATGACAAATTGAACCATGAAAAGACGCAATTGACGGTTCAGAGAAAAGGGGAAAAGGAAAGTTGAAATGAAGAGAGAGAAAGAATCTTACTTAGAGAGAGAGAGAGGGTAGTGGTTGCGGTGGGTGTTTGAGTCCGATCGGAGGGTCCAGAGAAAATGATAGGGTTTGAAGAGAAGAGAAAGGAGAGAGACAGAAAACCCGAAGAGGATATGTTTGGACTCGGATCCGATTCGATACAAATTGGGTGTTGGTGAAAGAGAGGAGAAAACCTGGTGGGTGGGTGGGTCAAATCTCGGGTTCGGGTGCTTTGTTTTCTGTTTCGGGTTGGGTTGTTGTTGATTTTGGTTGGTTGGATAGGAAAATGCAGATGTGTAATTAATTGGTTTAGGGTTATTAGACTATTGCATCCTTTTAAAAAAATATTATAAAAGAAAAGAAATATACAATGTATACTTATATTTAAAAATATAATTTTTCAGTTTTGTACACACACATTATTTTTTTTACAATTTTAATCTTCTAAATGAAAATAAAACTACACAACAATAGTTTTTATAAAAGTTTTTTAATATATAATTTTATTCTTAAAATTAGTTATGAAATAACAAGAATTACACAATATTTTACTATAAGTATCTTTTTTCATTAATCTATTAATAATATAAAGAGAAGAAGTTTTGCAACAATTTTCTTGCTTTCAAAACTTTGAACTCCTTTCCTTCAAAAACTTCTTTCAATAAAATCATATAAAAAATATTATATTATATGTTTTATTAATATATCAAAATAAAATAAAAAATTGAATGTCAAAATTTTAATTATAGTTTTAATATTAGCATAAAATATTATTATAATACTTAATATATTTTATAATTTTAGTGAATTTACTGGTTCAAAATTATATTATATATTAATTTAATATATAAAATTAATCTATACTAAATATAAAATGAGTATAATCTCTAGCAATTTTCTTAAATCATATTCATATTTATACTAATGTTAATTATACTATGTAACTTTTGTTGACACCAATTTTTAATATTAAGGAGATATTTGTATAACCTTAATAATTATAATGATACTAAAATTGTCTCTTAAAATAAAGATATTTTTAGACAATCCCTTATTTTTTACTAATATGTAATAAAATAATAATAATAATAATAATAATAATATTATTATTATTATTATATTGTGTAGAGAATTTTCATCTTCACTTAAAATCATATTAAAACACTCATATATATAT